ATCCAGAAGGAGTCCACCCTGCACCTGGTGCTGCGTCTCAGAGGTGGGATGCAGATCTTCGTGAAGACCCTGACCGGCAAGACCATCACCCTGGAGGTGGAGCCCAGTGACACCATTGAGAATGTCAAGGCGAAGATCCAGGACAAGGAGGGCATCCCCCCCGACCAGCAGAGGTTGATCTTTGCCGGCAAGCAGCTGGAAGATGGGCGCACCCTGTCTGACTACAAYATCCAGAAGGAATCCACTCTGCATTTGGTCCTGCGCTTGAGGGGGGGTGTCTAAGTTTCCCCCTTTTAAGCATTTGACAAGTTTCATTGCACTTTTCTTTCAATAAAGTTGTTGCATTCCAAGTAGTGTTTTTGTCTTTTTAGTTATAAGAATATTCAAATTGGAGTAGGGCTGGATCAGCAGGGTTCAGTTTAAAGATCTTTGAATTAGAGCTGGGTCTCAGTGGCAGCGCATTTGCCTGGCATGTGTGAGGCACTGGGTTCAATTTTCAACATCATGTATAATGTCTATCAGCACAACTAAAAATAAGTGGCTGGGGTGATAGGTCAGCGGTAGAGCGCTTGCTTAGCACATGTGAGGCCCTGGGTTCGATCTGCAGCACCACATACAAATGAATAAATAGAAAATAAATTTAAAAAAGAACTTCAAATAATTAGTGTTGGGTTGGCACATCAATGTTTTTGTGGTTACCATGAAGTAAGAAAATGCCATTGCAAAGTGGTTTCAATATAGAACTGTAGGAAGATAAAAATAAAAGCTGGCTTATGCTTTTTAAATTTTTCCCTTACAATTATCCTACACTCAGGAAAACAAAAATAGCAATAGCAGAGATACTGGTGGATTTTAATATATAAATCAATACACCCTTGATCTTATGAGGCAGATACTTTTTAGGGGAGTACTGGGGGTTAGACCTAGGGGTGCTTAATCAGCCATATTCTTGGCTCTAGAGACTTGGGTTGCTGAGGCCGTCTTTGAGCTCACAGTTCTGCCTCAGCTTCCCAAGCTGCTGGGAGTAGCATTGCAGGTGTATAGCACTGTGTCCAGCAGGCTGACACTATTTGATTTTACTGATGAGAAAATATGTACAAAGAGGCTGTGGTTGTAGCTAAGTGGTACAGTGCTTGCCTGGCATAGGAGACAGAGGAAAATGCTGTGGTTGTACCTCAATGGTAGAGCACTTGCCTAGCATGTTTGAGGCACTGATTTCAATCCTCGGCACCACATAAAACTAAAGGTATCATGTCCATGTATAATTAAAAAAATTTTAAAAATGTGTACAGTAGTTTAAAGGAGTGTCAGGGTTGGATACTGAACAGGTTTGTATTTACTCTTTGGGGTGGTGTGAGAAGAATGTTTCTTGTAGGAAAGATATTTTAAAAGGTAGGATGGGAGGGGAAAGAATCTGCTTTAACATAATAGCTGCATGAATCACTGGGATGCATAGAAGTCAATGAGATCAGGTTTATTTGAAAGGTGGCAGGTAATATATTTTCCATCTACTTAACAAGTTTAAAATAGAGAATTATGCCAAGCATGGTGGCCCATGCTTGTAATCACAGCAACTTAGGAGGCTGGTAAGTTTGAGGCCAGCCTCAGCAATTTAGTAAAGTGCACATTAGAGCCTGTCTTGGAAAAAAAAAAAAAGTGGTGGTGGTGTGGCTCCTGCTTAAAGTGCCTCTGGGTTCTGTTCCTATTATCAGAATGGATGAAAATGGCTGGCTCTGTTGCTGTAATTTTCAAGATGAACTTGATTCCTCAGGTTTTCTGTTGTGATAGCAGTTTGTCGAAGCAATTGGCCTCTGATCTGAATTTATACTAGTGCTTTGGAAGATGGGCGCACCCTGTCTGACTACAATGTCAGGAGGAGGCTACCCTGCACTTGGTGCAGCGTCTCAGAGGTGGGATGCAGATCTTGGTGAAGACCCTGACCGGCAAGATGGTGACATTAGCTTAATCAGATTAATAATTTGTAATTAAATTACAAATTCTTGGGGCTGGGATATAGCTCAGTTGGTAGAGTTCTTGCTTCACATGCAGATGGGCCTGGGTTCAATCCCCAGCACCACAAAAAAAAGAAAAAAAAAAGCTGGGGCTGTAGCTCAGTGGCAGAACACTTGCCTAGCCTATGTGAGGCACTGGGTTCAATCCCTGCACCACATAAAAATAAAGGTATCTGTAACTAAAAAAAAGTTGAAGGGAAGCTGGCTTAATATTAGGCATTGCCATCACCCAGAGACCCATTTGAGAATCCAAGCATAATCTATGACACTTTGCTCTTTTTTTTCGGGTTGTGGGGGAGGGTGTGATACATAACCAACCTCTGATGCAGGGCAGCTTTGTGTTGTCCTTACCAATTTTAAAGAGGCTACGAGTGAATGTGTTCAGATGAAGCCTAGCTTTAGAGATGAGAGAAAACTGCTATCCTTTGAGAAATCCATTCATCTGAAGGCAAATCCACGTATTTGCTGAATGGCCATGACTCGCCCATACAAATGAGCACACAGGTCAAATGACCAACACCAGCCCCTGTAATTACAAGGAGCTGCTCTGCTAGTTCCTGTGCAGGTCTTCTCAGTGCTCACTGATTTGCTTGTATTTTTAACTGTAGGTAGACAGAGACCTTTATTTCATTCATTTGTATGTGGTGCTGAGGATCAAACCCAGGGCCTCACAGGGCTAGGCAAGGGCTGTACTACGGAGCTCCAGCCCCAGCCCTTTAGTGGTGTTTTGAAGGTGTCCATGTTGGGTGGCAGGCATGGAGGCTCTGAAGTCCGTTTCAATATGTGCTTTGTGAAAACGGCGTCAAGATCAGATCTGGGAATATGTGCAAGAGGTCAATGGCTAATGATGCTGTGTTTGGAAACATGGGACTGGGTCATTAACACCTGGTGCCCTGGGGATAACTGGAGTCCCTGTGCACTGCACAGATCCTGAAGAATTTTGGTTTTGAAGCATCCTAAGTTGGGTGGGTGTTGTAGAGGGAGGATGCTCAAAAACTTACCAGAGGGGCTGGGGTTGTGACTCAGTGCTTGAGTGCTTGCCTCACATGTGTGAGACACTGGATTCAATTCTCAGCACCGCATAAAAATAAATAAAGGCATTTGTTCATCTACAACTAAAACACACACACACCACCACCACCACCAGAGAGCACTACTTGATTAAAGAGTATCTTGAAGTTCAATGAGAGGCTTGCTGACTACAAGTGCAGTTACTAGAAAGGTTTTTAAAGCAGTTATAGATACAAGCACATCAAAATCAGTGATGTGGATATAGATACAAGCACGTCAAAAAAAATATCGGCTGACACCCAAGAAAAAATTTAGGGAAATAATTTGTGTTCCAATGTATTTTTATACATTGGGTGTGTGTGTGGAGGTTTGGAAAGGCAAAGGTAATAGTAGTCCATTTAAATTCCTAATCAGTTTTACAGAGATAATCAGTTTTTTGTTACTGGGAATTGAACTCGGGCACTCGACCCTGAGCCACATCCCCAGTCATATTTTCTGTATTTAGAGACAAAGTCTCACCGAGTGGCTTAGAGCCTCGCTTTTTGCTGAGTCTGGCTTTGAACTCTCAATCCTCCTGCCTCAGCCTCCTGAGCCACTGGGATTACAGGGGTGTGCCACCACACCCAGCCAGAGATAACCACTTTTAATACCGTTTTGGTATTCTTTTTTAATTTTACAATTACTCTGAGTTCATGTGTATGTGCACACACCACACACAAATTGGGCCATTCTCAGTGTTTCTTAGCTTTGTATTTTGACTAGGTAACATGGACAACTTCCCAAGTCAGCCTGTGTAGATCTTATTCTTTTTAATACTCTTGCTAGTGTTCAGTTGTATGGATGCTCTATGATTTATTTAGCCTGTCTGCCAGCATGTTTCCTCCCTTACGATTATATATGTTGCAGAGTACATCTTTTGTATACTAATGTTTCTGTAGGCTAGGTTACTAGAACAGCTAGGTTGAAGGAATACTGTTATTTCATATGTGCTGTATATACATTTAATTTTGATTTCCTATAATGTCAAATTTCAAAGCTGGGAATGGGGGGGCACTCCTGTAACCCCAGATATTTGGGAGACTGGGGTAAGAGGATCACAAGTTCAAGGCCAGCATAGGCAATTTAGCAAGACCCTGTCTCAAATTATAAAATGAAATTGTAGCTCAGTGGTAGAGTACTTGCCCAGCATGTACCAGGCCCTGGGTTTGATATCTCTCTCTCTCTCTCTCTCTCTCTCTCTCTCTCTCTCTCTCTCACTCACACACACACACACACACAATTTTAAGAAAGGGAATTTGACAGTGGGCAAACCTGCTTTTATGACATCGTATTAAAAACATAGTTCACAATTTTGAAAGTGGATCACGGTGCATCTCTGTGGCAGAGCTCATGTTTATGGTGCATTTAGGGATCAAACCAGAGCTCTGTGCATATGTTCTTACACTGAGCTACATACCCAGCCCATATTTTCTTGTACTGTGAATTGAACCCAGGATCACTTTACCCCTGAATTACATTCACAGCCCTTTTTTATTTTATTTTATTTTTTGAGACAGGATCTCAGAGTTGCTGATGCTAGCCTCAAACTTGAGATCCTCCTGCCTCAGCCTCCCAAATTGATGGGATTATAGATGTGTGTCACTGGGCYAGGTCTCTCTCTTTTTTTTTCTCTCTTTAATTTTTTGGGGATAAGGTGGTACTTTCATGTGTTTCAAATATTCAAAAAGTTTAATACAGTGTGTAATGAAAAACTTTCAGCCAGTGTTTACCCTGCCCCGCCATGTGCACTTTTGGGTGTGAGGCAAGTTTGAAAGCTGACTGACCCAAGGTGATGTTCTGAGTGGGACAGCTGCCCATCTTCCTTTCCCCACCTGACCTCTGTGGTTTGGCAGAGTTCTAAAATCTGCTCATTTGTATACAGGGAAAGGCTTCCTGCAGTTTCCTCAAGGGTCATACAACTGCTAGGGAGGAGAGGGTCCCCAGTTCAGCAAGGACAGGCATGCCAGGAACCAGGACAGTGTGCGTTGATGAGGGACGGATGCTTCTGTCCTCAGGTCCTGTCTAGCAAGAGGACAGAGATGATGGACTTGCACAGTCTCACCGGATGATCCTTAGGTCTTAAAGCTTCCCGAAGTTTGGTTTCATATTTCAATACTATGCCAGAATCCACTCCCAGGAGTGTTATTTCATAGGCTGAAAGTTGGCAAACTCCTCACYGAGTCATGACTACTCTGGCCTTGTGCCTGCGTGTCCTTCAGGTATGCTTGCTTAAAAGTCTGGGACAGGGCTGGTGCTGGGGCTCAGTGGCAGAGCGCTTGCCTAGCATG